GTCGTGACAAGGCGTCAGCCTGACCAAACTGTTGAGTGCGCCGATACTGAATGTCAAAATCATAACCCAGAAGTATCAAAGCCCATCGTTGGAGACGGTTTGCAGAATGGGCTGGAACACCAGATTTCGAACCGAAAATTGTGAGAAGAGGCTTGTGATCAGTGAGAAGAGTAAATCTTCGACCGTACAAGAATTTGTGGAAACGGCGTACTGCAAACACAAGAGCCAGAGCCTCTTTTTCTATTTGACTGTACTTTCTTTCTGCTGAAGTTAACGTGCGAGATGCGTGCATAATAGCTTTCTCTGTTGCGTCCGGGAACTGATGTGAAATGGCAGCACCGAGTCCAAAAGCAGAAGCGTCTGCAGCGACAATGATAGTCATGGACGGATCGTAGTGCGTCAGTAATAGTTCAGAGCTTATGATTGTTTTCAGTTTGCGAAATGCAGCTTCATATTCTCTTGTCCAGTTGCAGCTGGTGTTCTTATTCAGAAGATGATTTAGCGGGGAGCGTATGTCATGCATTGACGGAACAAAAACTGAGTAGTAGCTAATTAATCCCAGGAATGATCGTAGCTCAGAGATATTAGTGGGAGTCGGCATCTGTTTTATAGCTCGGATGTTTTCAGGATCTGGTCTGCGACCTGCGGCATCAAAGATGAATCCCAAGTATTTAACTGACTTCAAGAAAACTGGCATTTTTCTGGGCGTAATCGGAATCCGTTATCGCTGATGCGTTGTAGTACAGCTTTCGTGCGTTCTCTAAGCTGTTCTAACGATGTGGCAACAATTAAGATATCATCGAGATAAGTTGCGACCCCCGGGATACCCGATAGAATGGTATCCATTAGTTGCTGAAAAATTGATGGAGCTGTTTTAACACCAAATGGTAGGCGATTGTACTGAAACAAGCCACGATGAGTATTTATGGTAAGTAACTCTTTCGAATCTTCAGCCTCTTCCACTTGTAGATAAGCATCAGCGAGATCCAGCTTTGCAAAGAACTTCCCACCATTTAACATCGTGAACAAATCTGCAGGGACTGGCAGTGGGTAGTGATGCTGTTCGATAGCTGCGTTAAGACCTGTGGAAAAATCTGCGCATATTCGGATTGTGCCATTAGCCTTCTTAATAACCACAATGGGTGCTGCCCAGGCAGAATAAGAAACAGGTGTAATAACTCTCTGTAGTTGAAGGCGGTTAAGTTCTTCGTCAACTTTCGATAATGCTGCGTACGGCACTGGTCTCTTTGGACGAAAGACAGGTTTAGCTCCAGGTTTCAACCGAAGTGTTGCTTTCATAGCAGTGCACTGACCCAATACAGGTTGGAAAATGGTTGAAAACTCCGTCATTAGTTCTTTCGAATATGCTTCAGGTTCATGAGGTTGTTTCACCAGATGGCATACGGTGCTTAAAGGAACGTCAGCTAAATGTAGCTGGTCAAACCAGTTTAATCCAAGTAGATTAAGATCAGATGGTGTAATTTAACAATCACCATGGTGGCCTGCTTGAGCACCTGGGCTACCTGTTCCTGCCATCCAGATATTTCAACAAGTTATCTACTTTTATTTGTTTTAATATATCAATATGTTTATTAATCGCATGACCTATTCTGCTGTGTTTCTGAAAAGTGTACAACCTTTCGTTGTCAAAGTTACAAAAAACTCAATAAGAGTCAATGTGGTTGCTGGCAATATACAGCGAAAAGAATGCACATTATTCAGATGTTCATTTATTGAACTGATAACAACTGACTGGAGATCACTCAATATTTATTGCCAGGACCGACCAAGAAGAAAGAAACGGAAACTTGTTGAAATACTTTACGCTGAGAATTCTATATTGTACCAAAAATATAATATTGAATAAAGCTAATGATAATAATAATAAAAACATACACCGGTAAACGTCGAATCGTGAAAAGACACTTTACAATCTAGTTGTCCCAACAAACGTAGGTAATTACCGCATGCAGTTCGAGGTCTTTGTGTTGTTGGAATCATGTGTGGTCTTCCCATTCTGATCCACTATTTTTGTGAGAGAATTTTTACATCAGATGCAGTGTCTATTTGCAATCTAAACGGGTGCTCATTAATATTAAGGGTAATAAATTTCCTCTCAACTGGGGTTGAGTTCTCACAGCATGCTATTAGACTCAACGAATTCGTGTTGGATCTACTAGGTTTTCTGGTACTTCTGGAGCTGCTTGGCTTCTTTTTTCGACAAAAACCATCTTTATGACCCATCGCATTACATTTCCTGCACCGATGTTGCTTATATGGACAGTATCGAACAAAATGCCATGCACCGCAGTGCCAGCATGGAGCAGGAGGATTTGTTTTTGTCTGTTGACCTGAACTCGATGTCGCTGAGGCAGATTTATGCGAGTTGCGTGGTTGTTGAACTACATGAACTTCGGTACGATTTGAACCACCACGCTGGACCATCGTAGTGTCACGCTGTAGATTAATTAGGCGTTGATATTCGTTTGCAATATCATTATGGGTTAGTTTTGGATCTTGGTCCAATCGACTTAGCAAACGTGTTCTAATGTCACTGAACTTCTGTGATTGAAGGCTGCAGATGAGAATGAGTGCTTTAAATTGGTCTTCAGTAAGCGACTTCAACCGGAAGCGTTCACATTCTCGGTTAACGATACCCACATGTGTGAGAAAATCAGCATCTTCGTTCATAGTGAGCTTCAGACATCGATAACGCGCATTGAATAGTGAGGAGTTGTCTCCGAATTGTTGGCTCAATGACTGGACAGTGTCCGAGAATGAGCGATCGCGTGGGTTTAGAGGCAGAATTAGGTTGCAATACTTGTCTAGTTCATTAGGACCCAACTTTCGAAGCAGCAAGCGGACCTTCCAAGCATCATCCTGATTAGCAAAGTCGAATTTGAATAAGTCTTCGTAACGTCGAAACCACATATCAAACGTGACATTGGATTCTGGATCGTAATGAAATTCGGAGATACTGTTAGCGATGCCATCAACTGATGGTGCAGTAGTAGTAGGGTAAGAACTGCTTGGTTGGGTATTAGACGTAAGCTTTGCATCTGCTAACATTTGAATAAGTTTCATCTGCTGCTCGAGTAATAATTCAAGTTTAGAAGGATCCATGTTTCCAAAACCACCGTCGCCAAATTGTTAGGTTCGTTAACCTTGAGGATACTACTGACTCGACTTATTCGGAACGGAACGAAGGCTCAGGATTCAGAGACTCAATAGACTATTCTGGTCCGTTGTCTTCGACTCAGCTAACTCGATCAAGAAGTCTTGGTAAGGCGTAGAAAGTAAATTCTACAAGCAACAGCAGATACCAAGTCAGGCAGGCAGATCAGATCAAGCATACAAGTCAAGCGTATTTATACAATTATTTACAACCGATATTGTCATAGGAAATTTTTAAACATTAATCAATGAGTTCATTAATTGACCTATTTGCGCATTTAATCGATAGTTCATCAATTGACTGCTATTCAAACATTTAATCGATTAGTTCATCAATTGACCCCAATACAAATATTTAAACATTTAATCAATAAGTTGATCGATGCGATATGAGTTGGGGATCTATCGTCCCCAACAACATTTTGAATGGTGATAACAGACTAATCTGATGCTCGTGTTTATTCCAAAACTGTTCAAAATAGGTTTATTAAGACTACATAAATGGCAGAGATCTATGAAGATAGTTGTATGGGGATACGTTTCAATCCTTAAACAATGGGAGGATCCATTTGAACCTCTATACTGTGTATCTATCAACCTCATCAGCTCCAATGAACTACTTTATATTAAAAGCACAAAATGACGTCGTTTCAAGCCAGTTCAGCTATTAACAGCAAAGTATATATTAGCTTTCGAACACATTGTTGAGTCTGCTCACATACCCATACATGAAATATGAAAAGATCATTTCGAATAAATTGAGCATTGAGTTGATTGTTTACTCTCTGAAGAAGTGACTTACACTAAGTCACGGAACGTCAGAAAATCTAATTTTCTACTCATTGGGATATTACAAATATATTATTTATTTATGAACATATCAGTTCAATACAAGTGTCTATTGGAATTTTGTGTACAATATATCATCCAATAACTCAATCTGTAGTGGCATTGGGCCCTAATACGAGAGAATGTGGGAAATAGACATTCAACGTTAAACACGGAGAAAAAACCAACAATGAAGGAGGAGGGAATAATAAATGGAATTAATTCAAGTTGATCGAATGACATGGCTTGACTTTGCAGGCGTGGTCCTTGTTGAATGTTATCTTATATCTTTTATTCATATTAAATATATTGTTCTGTCTCTAGTCTAAGCTTGTTCTACATCATTCATTGGTAATTGTTACGATTCAGTGAGTTGGTATAGACGATGATGTGATTTCCACGTAAGATCTTAATTTTTAAATAATTTTTTAAATTTTTTAAACAAATATTTTTTTATTTTTTTAGTATCAATTTTTTTTTTGGGAAAGAAATTTGAATATATTTTTTCTTTAAAATTATTCTGTCTAAATAGGTTTAATTTACGGTATTTCTTAACGCTCGTAACAATCACTTTCGGTTTTCGTGCATTTCTTCAACACTCGCTCATTTCCAGGCATAACTCACTCATGTGTTTCGACTGTTCGACTGAATTAACATACATGTAAGAACTGTGAACTTGTTCCAACTCCTTTTCCTTCGCATAAACAATCATAACTTCAGAACGAATATTTTTGTTTTGTCAATAACCGACTTTAATTTCTCAATGTTGTTTCATGAGTCACGTCTATTCGCTAGTACTGTACAACTGCAGTAAAAAATTAACTGAAACATACATCAGTGAAAACCAACAGACTTATAAGAATGTGAATATAAATTATTAGCTGTGTATAAAATATTGAGCAGGATAATGTTAGACACCAAAACCTCAGCGGAATAAAAATGGCGGTGTAAAACTGAATCTATATTGATATGTAGTCTGTTGAAACAATTTGACTTCGTCAGTTGAATCCAGTCATGTTCATTTTTGGTCTAAACCTGTAAGCAGGTGCAATGAATTCGTTGTTCATACCCTTTTGGTTTTTATTACGTATATCTTCACTTGATTGCACTAGTTTTACTAACACTGAACCGTTGCAGTTAATTTGGGAAATTTCCACTACATCACCATACTTCAAATTTACCTTCATATCTGGAATGATCACATCAAATTTCATTCTTTGGTAATCTTCTTCATGGAATAACTTATCGATTGAATGAAATAATTGTGTTGCATCACCCAAATCCATATGACGTGTTTGCATTAACTCATAGGCTAAACGACAAACCTAAGAAAAATAACAATAAGATTATATATGAAATATGAGGATATTCACTGAGATTATCTGAATATTTCATCGAATTTTGTGAATGAATTGCAACCACTGTGTTTTCATGGATTAAGATTTTGAATAAAATTTTATAAAACTGTTGATTCTAAAATAAATACATTCAGTTTGAGGTGGTGGAGATTGTTGAGTCTCATTAAAGCCATGAACGGATCTAAGTTAGACGCCATTAAAACCCGGCAGCACTGGACAGCTGTATCGTGCTAGTGTGGGAATCATTGGCAGTGAGCACTCAAGACTCTGCACGCGGGATTCAAGCCCAGCACCATCGGTGCTCACTAGTGACTAGCTTCCAGAGGTAACATGTTCAAAACAGTTTTCCACGACTTGTGAAACACATTGAAACAGAAATCTCCATATATATATATATATATATATATATATATATATATATATATATATATATATATATATATAAATGTCAACTGCTACGCATCGCTTATCGAATAAACTTTTCATAAATGGCGGTGTAGTTATTTCATTCTCTGTCGGGAAAAACAATCACAGACAGGAATTGATACAGGAATCCTCAAAACATTATTCGCTTTCTACTTGTTATAGCCCAAAGCCGTCAATGAGAAGCTGTGAATTATCGATCGGACCAAGGATGCGTTAAACACGTGCGAGCAGCCTATAATCCTGCTTTCCGCCTAGCCCAGCCAGTTAAGTCCAGAACACCAGTCTCAGCCTCTGCAATATGAATCCTTATAGTTCAAACATACTAAGTTTATATTTTAATCAAACAGACCATAAAGTTTCATAAAATAGAAAATAACATTTGTACAAAATTTGGCCAAATGTGGCTGTGAATGTGTGAGGCAGTGACTAATGGACAGGGCATAATTCAAGAATGGTAAAACGTATACTAATAGTTCATAGGTCAAAAAACGCTTATAATAAGAAGAATATGAATATGCTTAATATACTTAATAATTATACAATAAAAATATACATTTATTATTGGTCCATAAATGGATCCCAAAAGTTACCATTCATTTGTTTATCGGGACCTTACACTACTTCAACTTGTAATTATAGATTTGTCATAGTACGACATTTGACAAGATAAAATTCACAACTATATTTTAATGAACACAATCTAAAAGTTCTGCTGATAATATTTGAAGTAGACAGACTACTATACGCTTTATTTTACATTATTTTCAACCTAATATTGGTTGCTTTCTAATTCTATGATTTCCTATGAAATGATGTTAGCGGCAGAAGTCACCATAGAACAGGTTGGTGTAAGACCTCTACATTTCTATATCATTACTAATCAACGATTTTCATTCAATCTTGTGGCAATAACAACTTCACTTCTGTAAAAATTAATGTGAATTCTTTATTCAAACGTGCTTGTTCACTTCAAATCCCAGTCAAAACAGACAACGTGTAATATTGTCGTCAATACAAGTCAACATATATATATATTACTTACATTCGATGAAAATGTACACACAAGGAAATCTGTCATTGAAAGTGCAATGATGTCAATAATTGCATTATTCATTGAATTAACTGACATCCGCATATTCAAATTAGCTGACTGCGATCTACCTTGACTACCATAGACAGTGTAGTTTGGATAACTGTAGGGTAGTTGAGTAAAAATATTCGGATCATCTGTCGACAAGTAAACACTTCGCTTAGCCTGAACGGAGTTATTTCTTCTAATGATTCTTTCAGAAACTGATCCAAATCTCTCCACATTCATGTCCTAACAGTTTCAAAAATGACAAATTAGATTCATTCCGTATAATAGTAATAATGATGAAGTAGTCAGTCTGAATACGAAGTGATACAACTAGATATAATATAACATTGGAAACATTTCCTATTCTCATAACACACAACTTCTACTCATTCAAACCGAACTCTTAAAAACAAAAATAGAGTGAGTTCTTCTTAGTTCATAGTTTGCATTATGGTCTAGACTCAATTAGACAGCAGTGGAAAACTAGGGTGATAGAACAACTATCTCGTTTTATTAAGGGACTATATCAATGACTCCCTTATGGAATAAACTCAGTAAATTTCAGCATCACAAATAAAGTCTAACCTTTAGACAAGTGAGCCAAGATCGATTCCTGAAATAAACATGTCCACTGCTCACACACTTTTAATGACCGTCAACCTGAGATTGAGCTGTAATGTAAACAATAAAACTTCACAGCCTCAAATCTACAATAACAAGTGAATATTTCACAGCATTTTGCTTTACATGTTAACTAACAAATTGTTCTCAAATAATCTTTAATTAATATTTAACACTAAGTCACTACTGTTTCTTATTGAACTGATATCATAACGTTGAGTCATTGTATGTTAATATTCTGAAAAGCTTTCAGGATAATGCCAGTGCATCCCGATGAAACTTTCCATGTTTCCTTCACACTACAATAAATGAGCATAAGTGTCAGAATTACATTTCTCAATCAGTAAGATTAACTGAATGTATCAGTTTTGATATTTGTAAAACCTCATTATCAAAACATGCAGACAACTAACCAGTTGGCATTATCATGCTCATCTTGCTTAGAATACCGATTGATTTTTACATGGTGCAACTTTGTGCTGATTAGCTGGGGAGTTTAACACAGCATAATACATTCGTCTACAGTAAACCTACTGGGATTTTCAGTAGATTAGTTAACAATTTGCAGAGGTACACATATTCAAATGGAATGATTAACTGAAGGTTTTGATACTAGTAGGTTAATTCATCGACAAAGTGCATTTGATCTGATTGATTTGTTAAAGCAATATCTTATTACATCTTCATTATAACGTTTTAAAATCACGGAAATCATATGACATGAAGACTGACTTCTAACAGTAGTTACATATTTGGCTAGCAGTGGAATCCAGGGTGCGCGTTTCTTCCTATTTGGGACTAGTAAGCTGGATGTACCTGCAAGCTTGTGGTTTACAAAGTCGTCCATAGAATACCATCGCACATGTTCTGTGCCTCAAAAGTCTATTCGTTTCATATCATGAAAAGTATGGCCATGCATATCAGTAAGTTCATTATTTATACACATAAATTGTACTCAATTACTTTGGCGTTCTACATGTAATTTTGATCCTCCCAGTTGCACTCGATTTCAATTTTATCATTCACTTCTTATCTAATCTGTTTAAGTCATTGAGCCATCTAATTATACGTGCATCCATTTTACGAATTATATATTGTTATCATTAGGGAAAACACTGAGATCCATAGTTAAGCTGATCAACTATCATTTACCTACTACTATACTACATACTAATGAACAACTAGAACTCAAAAAACTCACTTCAACAGAATACATCTTAATTCAATTTACATTTGATCAAGTACAACACATCATAATGGATAACACATTCATTGTGATTAATCATGAATTGAAATGTGATTAATTAATTAACGAAGTTCCATTTATTGTTTAAATACAACTGAGATCATCTTATTGACTTACATGTCTCTTTGACATTGTCAAGAGATGAACACTTTGTAAATCGAAGAAATTATCCACGTGTTCCATGTACTCGGATAAGTCATGAAACTGAGCCTCCAAAATTAACTATAAAAAAAGAGTACAAGTGCAAGATGTGATCATTAGAACATTCAATTCCGAAAATATTACACTATAGTTGTCAATGACAAGATGCTCCAACTCAACCCCCTTACATTTTCATAAACTTTATTCTTCATGAAGTATTCACACCAAAACCTTTAAACTAGACATTCCTACTCATTTTCTATAGTAAAGTCAGCTGGCGAACTGACCCTTGATACACTACTGTCTTATATGAATTTCGTTTAACTTCAAATCTACTTGACAAAGATCATTGAAAACATTGAAGATTCAACCAACACCAGAAACTTCAAATTGAGTATGCAGAAAGACAAACTACACTAGTTGAATACTCACTTATAGCAGCAACAATGTACTGACGCAAAAATATGATATTTACAAAAACTACTCAAAACAGTAAAGACATTAAAGCATCACAGGGAAAAGAAACTGGATGCATTTTGGAAAAACGGTTTGATACAAAATATCAACAAGGTATGTCCGTTAAACATAACGTCAAATAAGAAAAAGAGAATTCAGCGAAGAAAATTTTCTTTTCGACGAAATCATTTACTTGAGCTGTACATTCGTATATATAGTTATGGGTTATTTTAATAACGTCAAATACAAAATCAGTACTAAACATCAGCAAAGGGGGAATTCTACTCTATCCGAAGAACATCAGCAAGATCACGAACAGGTTTGTAAGACTATAAGAAGTAAGTACAGCCTATAAGCCGGTACAATATTTATTGTAAAAGCCCACAGCTATAATGACAAATAAAAGCAAGGGAAACATAAAACACAAGAAAAACTGCGACAAATACGACACAGTGAAAAGCGGTCACACTTTCAGTCCATTCCTGTATGAGCATTGGTTAGCCGTTATTTGCCTTGACGTAGATGTGCTTATATAAATGCTTGTGGATAATTTTTAGCGTAAATCAAATTGGGGAAATGTCCGAACTTCGACAGAAGAAGCACAAAAATCTCAGAGAAATTTAAAAAGCCTGAAACTTTGTTCAATCAGCAGGTATATCGAAATCAACCAAATCTACCAACCAGTATTCTGTTGAGCAGGATGATAATGATTTCTGAATGACCGTCCCAGTTTTCAAAAGTAGTTTAATCCAAAGACAAAACTGAAAACGTGTCTTTCATTTTCAACATTCACTGTTTCAATTCTGAATAATTAAGTGCATCATACTATATTCTGACAACGTATATGAACAAACGTCAACCTTATCGGTACGCCTGATATGCACGCCAACAACAGGATCACCACTTGTTTTAAAGCTCTTCAAAGTTACATTGATCAATTGTGCAAGTTGTGACTTTGGACGCAAAATGTAGGCTGCTAGTTGACCAGCAAACCAAACAAAGGGTGCCTCATGTAAACGCAATAATTCTTCATTCATATCTATCGGGAGAGCATGTGGCAACCATTTAGGATCGGTGAAAGCCTTTCGAACCAGAGGACATTCGATGTTATCTGAAGTAAAAAAGGGAATGAAAATATTTATTAAGCTTGATAAGTTTAAGTTCGTAGATCAACTGCCTACCAATCAAACATTATAGCTGATTTTTAGGGCAGAAGCTTACTCAGTCGTAAAAAGCGATTGAATGTGATTTTATCCATATTAGGAGGAGCAATGGAACATGAAATATTGCTAATAATAAGGGTTGTTTACTCGTTCTTTCACGTAGATAGTAAACAACTTTATGTTATTTCATGGGTTCTAGTCAATGATTTATTGTATCGTGTTGTTTTGTCGAAAAGTCAATAAAAATATTCAAGGTAACAGTTCAAGATAATCACTGAGGTCTGACATTTACAAGAAACTAATGATAAATATAACGTTTACACACCTGATCTATTATCTGAGTCCAAATAACTGCATTTGTCAGGAAGTGGCAGCATGTTCTGATGAAGCCATTCTCGAAATGGGTCTCCAGAATGATGTTTCTTTAATACAAAAACACGCTCATTTTCAAGAGCCAATTGTAAGCAGTACATGAGTTGATGAGTGCGACAACCCAATCCACACAAATTAGTGAAGTCTAATGTTACATATTTGGCCTTTTTACAATCTGACGGATTCTATATGTATATGATCACAAGGTAAAATCCAAATTTTGATTTATTAATAAGAATCAAACACATTGTAAAATTTATTCACAACAATTTCATAGATACAAATATTAAAATGATCTAAAGGTACTCAATCAGTCAACAACAATGTCAAACTTCGTATTTATACACATCAGTTCAAGTTGTCATACCGCATTAGAACAGTGATTCAACTGTCAATTCAAATCGCATGGTGGTAGAGATAGCAAGAGTATAAGTAGTTATCGGAAACATTAGGGTTTGAAAATGTTATTCAAGGAGTATAATCTAGTGAAATAAATTTGGAGAGAAAAAAAGACACAAGGAGAAATCAGGAGATTGAAATTTGGAAAAATACAAAGAGTGGATGCTCTTCCGCACACCATAAAAAACGATTTTGAGCCATATCATTCAAGGTCTCTAACGTCCGATTGCTATCGTCTCGCGGATCTGACCAGGTAGTTAACACCTACCAACATGATTCAGTGCACTTGTCAGTGACATCATGGATTTGTGACAGGATTTGGTCTGGTCGCCTCCAGATTTCTTCCAACCTACTCCTACACCATAAGACATCGCTCATCCGGGCAGTTAGTGGTTGGGCATACGTAACACGTGTCCCGTCCGTCTCAACTAGTGAAGTTTCACTACTTTATCAACTGGTTTGACATCCTTATCTAGTGCTCGTCTCTTTAAAACTGTATTACCTACTCACTATAATGATCTGAAGGATGGTGATGATTGTCAGTAATTTGATTCAGATACAAAACATTCTGAACCTGTGTTTGTAAGTTCCCTTGATCTAATCTGATAACCTTTTGAATATGAGTTGAAACCTGCAAACTGTGCTGGTGATGATGTAATCAACTGCTTGATATCATACCTTACTGATACAAAATATCCAACGAAATTGGAAAATTTAAAGTATTTGTGTTTTAGTTTGCAATCGACAGATTGTCGTATGGGTGACAGTGTAGTGAACAAGAACACAAATGGGAATCAATCAATCAAATCTGAGAACCAAACAGCAGATTCGTCATTTACAAAATTTCAATCAATCGTCTCAAAATTCATTGTTTCTTTGCTTTCACACCAATCACTTTCTATTCTCGCCCTATTTTTTTATATCTCCTCAGCCTTCTTCCACCAGGCATTTCACTTTCGACCCATGATACATACTACTTGTTTCTGTCAGCACCAGTAGCACACAACACAAGAGTTCACAATGGTTGCTGTTGGTTCACACACCAGCATAGATAGACAGATAGATATCAAACCCTTCATATATATTTTCCTCCTTACTTCTTTTACAAGTTTAAGAACTTGACTTATTCCAAAATGATAAAGAAGTAATAAATTCTAACCTGTTGTTTTTGAATTTTCTCCTGTAATCGCTGTGAAAGCTTATTTAAGCCATTCTTTCTGATTTGTGAAAATTCATCTAATTCACCTAGTTTGTTAAGAATAAGTTGCAAGTGTGAAATAGTTTCCTCCATATTCTGTCGATAACGAACTAACGATGCTTGTATCGATGAAACTGTTTCAGTGTCCAATTCCTTTTGATTAACTTTTTTTAATTGGGTAACAATTTTGCGTAAATTGTTCAAAGTGTATCGTGCTTCATGAACGTAATTCAAAACACGACGTCTAAGTGTCTCATGAGAAATACCGATCCGATCTACATCTAAAATAAAAACATGAAAGTTAAATATTTCACCTTATTATCATTATTATTACACACAATACAAACTGAACATTTCGGTGAGACTATAATTTATGGACGAATCAATCAGGTATGAGAAAATAGGTCTCGGATAACCTTCATTTGGTACCAGTTATTAGGTGGACATTCAATGTCACGCTAGTATCGTTCAAAGATCGTCCACAAATTATAATCTCATCACCATTTCTATTCTATAGTTCATTTATAACAATTTATATTCATTCATTTGCAAATGGCTAGTTTGTAACTTATCGCATATAAATCAAATGACAAATAACTGACATGCCATATGAGTGTTCAAGGATGTGAAAAATAATGTCAACGTTGTTTACGTAGTTAGCATGTAAGGCCCCGAATCATAAACAATAGAAATTCATAATTAACATCAACGTTTGCCGAATCAAGTTAGTTTCCAGTTAAACGTTTTGCATAAACCCACTTGCACTTTTACTTTAGTGTAAATACTGATGATATGCGCATGGAGAAAAGAGATTGACTGGTCCCGATAACTTTCTAACATGAAGTCTATGGAAGGGTGGCATGTGTTGATGGAGTGTAAAATATCTTCTAATTCAAAATTATCGTCAAAAATGACAAATGCATCGTCTATTTATCTTACGTATATAAGAAATCAAATAATCATCGAACCAAAATGTAATAGGAGCATTATACTACTAGATTATTTACATTATTTATACCACTTTGACCTTTATTAACCTTCCATTATTGTAACAAAAACATTTTAATCGTCATACTACATTCACGTTATAATTCGTTACTAACTTATTAAGACCACTGTTAATATTGCTATTATGTAATCCAGTGTTATAATTTTTCTATTACATCATCGCGGTTATTGCTTGTTCACATTTCTTCACAGAACTAGTACTTTCATATGTATACAACTGTAAAGCATGATAAGTAATTCGTTGAAAAGAGATCACTTTGATGAACTTCATGTTTTTAATGTTTAAATCAGAATTATCTGTCAAATACTGATGAGATGTATTGACAGTAAGGACGACTTACTGTACTTACTGACAATATTCAGTATTGTTGGAAATATTAGATCCTCAAAACTCATTTGATAAATGCCTTTTTTGGTAACTCTATTTTTTTTTAGAAATTTTAATCTTTTGTTTTCGCACCAAAAGTACCCATTTTCATCTTCATGTCGTATTTCCCAGTTCGGAGCACTTTAAATGTCATAGGTTTATTGTCTCTTTTTATATGCTATTTTGTACCGTTTAGTGGCCCGTTGAATCTGACTCCAAGATCGTATAAATGTTTGTTATTGATGTTTGCTATCGCTTATTCTCGTATATAATACTCGACTTAAACCACGTTAGTCAATAACGTAATTTAGATATGTCAATCAACGAGAATGGCATATGAATACATATATTTTGCATGTAAAGTGAATGCGATAGAACAAAACGAAATGACGCGCAGGGAAGATGGCTGGGAAGCCAACTCCATCTTCGTCAAGCGTTACTCAATATTTATAGTCAGACAAAATAAAGCTACAGACATGTGATTAATGGAATAAGAAGGGCACACACATATACGCTCATATAAAAACAGTCAAGACTGACAAGCGAATAATTGACAAGGTCAAAATATAGCTCGAGTAGAATGAATAAAATGGGATGTCCGGAAGCTAGAATAAGGTATATGGGCTTGGCATAATAACTGACACTACAACCGTTTCTCAAGGACATTTTTATCCTGTATATATATGGTTAAGTTGTGTGCTTTTTGTTGTTCATGCTTCTGACTATTTGTGGAATACATTATCCCTCTTTGAACCTGGACTGATATCCACCTTGAGCCCCCCTGTGTCTAGTACAGGTCCTAAGTCCGGATAAAGGAGGTAGATTGGGCATGGGTATAGCAAAATGCAATAGCTCCCATGTAAGATAAATATATTTTATATTTTATTAGACAATACATAACCCAGATTGGAAATAATCGAATCTCTTCATCAGTTCACTATCGACTTCTCAAACATTTAAACTACACACTATAAATCATTCGAAAAGTTACTTCTGTTTCAAATTCCAGTGATTTACTTTAATGCACTGCTATAATATCTAGAAGGCGATCATTCACAAGAGATCTACATAGAGATCATTTCACTTATATACGTATGCAGATATATTTCACATTATAAGAAAAGTAAGAGGAACTTTTAAAGATATGAAATGATGAAAGTCCAATATTTTGTTGAACCCAGTACTGAATAAAGCCACTATCATTGTTCTTATTACGTTTATTATTGAACAATAAATAATAAAACCTACTTTTTATTTGATCGTCCTTGATTAAGACATTTTCACTGAAATAGAAAAGTTAAAAGTTCCTTAGTATTATCTAATAAAAGCTAAATTTTGTATGATTGTTGTTATGATGATGTTAGTTGTTCTGTTGATGTATGCTTTCCTGAACTACATCATTCAATGGAATAATACAGATAACTAATAATACATAAATAAGAAATTTTAATAAATTCCATGACAACGAAATATGAAATTGTACTCATTCTTAATCTCTATTCATACTATGAATTCATTGTTCAATACTTTGTTCTCGTTATTAACCAAGCTATAGTTTCCTTCTTTAAACAATAAAACAGTTTTAAATGTAAAATTAGATTCGTTGCATTAGAAGTGATGGTTAATAATTAATATAGAATAATGGATGATCAATTGTCATGGCAATATAGAATATATGTACAACATCCGACAGTTTCGGCATCAACACTCTGACACATCCACAGAAAGCTCAAAAACATTCCCAGTAAAGATACTTTTACTGGATATCCCAAAAAGAATAGTTAATTAAATTAACAGGTACCATGATGATACATTGTTGACACAAGCTTGGATGATTAACAACTAAATATCAAATGATGGATTATAAAGTAAAGGTGTAAGCAAATACTTAATTAGTTAATCCACCGAAAAACAAACTACATACTGGAAGACTAAATATCTAAAAGTGAACTTATGTCAGGCAACAATTGTATCCATCTGATAACGGAGACCACTTCTTCACTCACTCCATCATGAATACGTTTTCAGTCCCAATGAAAAGAAAATACACTAGGCAAATCTTCAAAATGCACCACCAGGCAAGCCTTAACTTGGAATTCTGAAGAAAAGCGGAAAAGAGGAAGGTCAAACAACACATTACGTCGGGAAATAGAAGCGGATATGAAAAAGATAAATAAAAACTGGAAGGAGCTGGAAAAGATTGCCCAGGACAGGGTTGGATGGAGAATGCTGGTGAGCGACCTATGCTCCTTCACGGAGAGTAACAGGCGTAAGTAAGTAAGTAACCATTGAAAAAGCTAATTGTTCTTAAAATATTCAGAGTTGTGTATAATAATAAAGAAAGGTGATATTTTTATATACCTGAGGTCAAATAATCTAGAATGAGAAATCTCATCTGTGATCCAATTCATTCCTTCACTAGTAACTGATACGTTATCGACCAGACCTTCACGGCATAATTCCGTTTTCGAGAATGTCTTCTTTCTGAAGTAAACTCTTATACAAAACATCAAAACTGGCAATAGAGATAACCATACAACAACGAGGAATTTGAATTCATATCTCGAAAATCTGGATGAATGAATGAACAAACTATTAACATATTTTACCTCATGATCTTGTATTTTGGCCTTCACAAAGTCCTGTGCTTTTCTTCTTTAATAGTCAAAGAGAAAATTGAAACCCTGCCTGAAATATGTAAACAAGAAGAGAAAACTATGCTATAGACTCATAACTTGTATTTTTTCGTTAAGATTCACTCTTCAGAGAAGTAGTTAAACGAGTCATTCGCAGTCAAAATAGTGGCATTGTAGATAGAAGTGCTTGTATTTCAACACTTTTTCAACGCACAACAACTCATAACGTTTTCATTATCAGCCAGTTGCAAATACATAGCGTAGGACGTAGTACATTGGTTTAAGTTCCCATTCTCCATTAAAACAGAAAGATAAAATCGTCAGAGCAAATCCCAGAATAATAGAGGCAGTAACAGTACTCGTGGTAATAGAAAAGACTGGGCATCAAAAATATGATTGGAAAATACAAACTAGTGAAACACATTTTTCGGAGGAATTTAGGCAGTTACTACCTTTGAGGAGAAAAAGGTGAATGCACATGCGCCATAGCAAAGGATTTTGATCCATGTCATCTAAAGTCTTTAACCCTTAATAAAGATAATTGATTGTCCGGACTTCAACTAGGTAATCTACACCTGTTAACATGGATCGGTACAATGATCAGTCACTGCATGCACTGGTTACGTGTTTTAGTTTGGCCACCTTGGTTTTCTTCTAACCTACTCCTAAACCACCAATCATCAGTTGTATCAGACTTGCAAATCGCTTGGGGTTGCCGACCCCACACGCGGCCCTCCTCATTTAGCCGTGTTTGAGACCAGCAGTAGCGCTAGAAGAGCTACAGGCGGAGTTTTATATTCATCTACCTGCATTTAAATTGTAATTGAAACATAATCGATATACCTTATCTTTAAAAACTAATTGATAACTGAATAATGGAGGCATCTATATCTCATGTAATGACCTCAATACAACTGTTATGTCCATCATACCTTTAATAAATTGGTCACCTTAGGATATATCTTCCAAAATAGAACATCTACTCGTTAGTTACCTTCGTTTTTAGGTTTGATTTCTCAGCAAAACGATTTTATTTGTAACCACTCAAACAGATCCATATAGATTCAAATACGTCCTAGTGATTTCACTTAAAAAAAGTTTTTGCTACTTGTGTCATAAAATAACAGATTCGAATGTTTTGCGTATTACTAGTAATATATTCTTGCATAAAGTTATTGCTAAATTAGGTATACCATTGAGAATGTGATTTATAATTAGTGGGAGCATGGCTACTAACCCGCATCTATAGTATCATTACAAACCATCGTCAGCATTAGGCAAGTTGTTACAAAGCTAATTTCAACGTATAGAATTTTTAGTAGACTGCATTGACTAATGTTTCATGTTTGTGCATGTGTTACTAAACTGCTAAATGACTTAGCAAGTTGTTACTTAGATTTGTAGAGGCTCATGAAAACATCAACATGATCGATTAAGAGATAGTAGTAACCATGAGAATAAATTTTAGTGGGCGATTGGATTAACATATAAAGTCAATAGAGTAATTAATGATCTGCAACATTATAAATAGCGTTAACTTGGACAAAAGACGTAGTAAAATTAAGCGCATTCACGTACTTATATTATGAGATGAAACCAAGAAGAGTACTTCATATAACATCACAATAGTTATCTTATCGTCGTAGATAAGTATGAGGTGAAATAAAATGAAAATGTAAACGAACTCACTTTAAACAAGAAAATGCTTGAGTTGATGAATCATTATAAAAGATATATCATCGCATTAGGTCTAGATATTCTTAATTTAGTCACCTAAATTTTATTATTAACAAATTTGAAAGATCCTAATAGTTGATAAGTGGTTAGAATAAACCCGAACACTTAGATATGCGTAACTGAGTTTGGATTGTGAGTTGGATGTGTTCGGCTTACTGCACTAAAGTCATTTGTTGATAAAATAGTTTGTAATAGATTTGTAATGAATATAAGTTATTTCTGTTTTCTTGCTGTGTTTGTAAGAAGCTGTGTTGTTAGCGTTTTCTTTTTGAAAATCAGTGCCGACTGTGTTAAGTACGTAATCTGCGTCCAAATCGTAGGTTTCGTCTATTTTGATAGTTAGCGTCAATTCTTTTTCACGGTTTCGCTAGATAAATTCAGTTTTTTAGTTAGTTACCTCTTTCTTAACTTTGTAGAAAAGCACCAAGATAGTTAGCTTCAATACGTACAATAATTGACATAATGTCTAAAACTAGTAAACACGATCATTGATCACACACCTATAATATTCGCGAATCGAAATGTCGACCAAATATCACGTTGCCTTAAATTTGGAGAATAACGCTACTTAGCAGATTTTAGGTAATATGAGCCCATGAGCTAATCGTAAATTGTTTGATGCCCACACGTCATTGCAATAGTTTATATGAATTCGATTTTTAAAAACTTTGAATCGAATTGTCACGAAAAAGTGGTAGAATAACAAATGAAAAGTTTCTCTATGACTCTGTATAATGCGTAAACTCTAGACGATGGTTAAACTATTTTCAATGGGATTTTGTTCTGTATTCAATTAACCCTTATAAAATATGTAGGGCAAACAACAAAGATCCGAACTTCCATTTAAACAGTAGCAGATGGCCTAGTATTGAACAAAATTCAGACACAGACTGAGAAATTTCGATTTACTTTTTACCGAATTCTACCAGTCAGGGTTTTATCTCAATGATGTTATCCTGATGTGCTATCGATGTATGACGTGAACTGGTGTACTCAAGTACGTACCACATTCTATGCGGTGTATGTTTAACTGACTAACTATGATAATCAAAAGTATTCGAATTGACGTATCAGCTAAGAACTTCCGAAATATTTATTTGAAGCAGGTAGAACTAGTTGAAAACAAATGAACGTTATGTGTTTGAAATCTTTAATCGGCTGGCAATCAAGTACAAAAGGAATAATTAGTACGTACAAATACCACCATGACTGGCCAACTGTAGCCGATATTGGATCTGTAGTAAATGTTAATGACATGGTAAAGAGCTATGCGTTTCATCCTTATTACAGTAAATTACTCTCATATGCATAATTAATCCTCGATATGTTTCCACAAGTAGCCACAAACGTACCAGAGAGTCAGTCAGCTACAACGTAGAACTAGGCATATATATGCATCGGTCCAAATTGCCACACCTCATTAGCACAAGATGAACACCAAATCCATGGTGTTAGTTAACTGGCACGATTGTTGCTTTTTATCTTATGGTACCTTGTGGTCTGTCTGGTTGGTATATAAACTCACTATGTTTAAAATACACGATTCATATTGCGGAGGTTGAGATTGGTGTTCTAGACTTAACTGATTGGGATAGGCTGGAAGCAGGACCGATAAGGACTCTAGGCTGCTCGTACTGGTTTCATGCGTCATTGGTCCAGTCGATAAATCACTGTTCCCTAATTGGCGGTATCACTACGTTATGCACCAACAGGGTACACAGGCCACAATTTATAACAGTTACTGCAATGGTGGTAATAAATAAAAAAACGACTGTGTATAAGGGTATAGTCCAAGAAGTATGAGTTGGTTCGCAGAAACAAAGGTTTTAAACATTTTTAACCTCACGGTTTAAGGGTAGACAGAGAGTGTATACACCTAAGTCTTTGTGATCAATTCTGGGCCATGTCACCCAGAGTCTCCAACCATTGGTTACGATAGTCACGCGGACCACAACCAAGTAGTTTGCATCTACCATCATGGCTTAGACTACAAGTTAGTGACCTGAAGCACTGATGCCACGTTTTGGTTTGGCCGTCCCTAACTTTCTTCCGAACATTTCCCACACTAGTCAGCATTGAGCGTCATGGCAAATGGTGTTCAGGTATACGTAACACGTGGTCCAATCATCTCAGTCGATGAAGATTCACAACCTCATCAACATATTTATCGTCATTCCTTAATGTCCTACGTCTAACCACAAAGTACGTAAATGGCTAATCTAGAAAATCTCACAAAGTACATAAAGCCTTTTATATTGATTATTAAAATGGTCCTATGGTGTACCAAGAACATATCAATTTCCTAAATAATGTAAAAACCATTACACCCAATAATTAATTAAATATAATCTATACACACAAGAAAAATATACAGGACATTACCTGAATCGTCAGGAATCGAAGCGTTTGACTTTATTGTGGTCTAAAAGTTGATAGTAGTTGATAACTCCAATCACAATTGTGTTGTGGTTAGAGATGTATATTCAGACAAAGCATATAATGAGAATATTACTGTGATCTGCAAACGTAGATTGCGAATATATTAGAGTTCTTTTATCATAGTACCAGGTAATTGAGAACAAGAAGTGTGTATGTAAGCAACAGTGTATTAGTGAGCGATAATCAGTATGTCATACTATTGTGGTGGATAGTGTTACGTCGTGTCATGTTCGACCTATGCATAGTTTATTCTAGCTTTCGGACAAGCCAATCTATTCATTTTCCCTAAACCACATTTCGACCTTGTCAGCTATTGGCCTGTTTATTCTGGCTGTTTTTACATGAGCGTGTGCGCTCACATTCCATCCTACCTACTACATTTCTGTAGTTTATTTTCTGTTTGGCTATAAATATTGATTAAATCCAGTTGTATTACATACCTTCTTTAATCTGCTTCGTTCTTCCTTTTAAAGGGAAACATAATTATAAATATGTTTCACCTCCCTGATTGCATGTTCAAATCAATGATTGCATAAACCTTACGTATCCAAAAACACATACTCGTATTTGGTTTATTTAATTCCGTTATTCACCAACTCGAATTAAGTCGATAATCATTTACGTGGATAGGATATACATAATCAGAATCCATTCTCATACTTAGCGGGTAGTTTGGAAATCAACGTTGTCATGTCAACCTAATCAGTTTCGGTTTTGAAAGGTCAGTAGGATTGATGGCCTGTATTAGTCCTGGCAATTATAGTCTTTCTTTGATCAAACATTTTTTGAAAGAGTTGATAAA